CCCCCCCCCCCCCCTGCCTTCGAGAGCACTATTATAGGGTCTCCGCACCGAGTCCATCAAGAATCTCATCCAGGAACGCCTGAGGGTTGCGGGGCTGACCGTCCGTCACATCGTAGGCCTTTCCAGCGCACGCCGGAGCAGCTTCGGTCTTGCTTCCGGGGCCTCTTCTTTGCTCTGCGGCCGCACCCCCAACGTCTGCCCCAACGTCTACCATGGCGTTTGGTGCGTCTGTTTCTGCTCTCTTCTTCTTAAGTCTTGCGCCGGCAAGCAGGTGTGCCTCCGCCTGTGCTTCCGGGGCATCCAATGGCAGGCCGTACGGGGCAAAGAAGACAGCACGATAGTATTACGAGCGGCGTGTTTTCGTGGGTAGGTACGCTTTTCACGTAGCCGGACTTTCATATCAATCCATGACTTGTTTCTTGAGGTGAGACGCCGCCAGCTATTCCCCCTCCCTTCCCCGAAGACGCACCCACCAGGTTGTCCAAGTGCACCATGTCCACCTTGACGCCGCCGTCTTCCGGGCACTTCGGCCCCACCGCCACGCGATCCAAACCCCAGCCCACCCACGACAGGGCTCGATGTAACGGCCTGGACCGCGGGTGGAAAGATTGAAGGGCGGAGCTGTGTTAAAGAGAGGCTTGTTATCGTGGGGGTCTCGGAGAGGTCTGAGCCATGGGGAAGAAACGAAACAAGCAGCCGATCTGCAGGAGGCGTCGCCGAGAACAAACGCCAACGATTCTCCTTGTAACCGTCGCACGCTGATGCTGCTGCTGCTGACGATTTCCGCTCACCCAGCCCCGCGAGAGCGGCTGCCCGTGACTTCATCCGGGTGTTAATTTGGTACAGAATCAAACGAGGACACGACGAATGCTTGAGCGCCCGTGTCTTCTCCAATAGAAGAAGTAAATCTGGCATCTGAGCAACACTACGATCGGTACAGCAACGTAGAACAGGGATAAGAGTTCCGGGATGCAAGGGTGGCGTTGATTCCGTGCTATTACTGAAGGAGACGCGTCGTGTTCCGCCCGCCGTGAGGCAACGACCACCACGAGAATAAATTGGTGGTACCTACAAATGCGCGAGTTCAAGCCTGTTTGCCTGTTCCCCCCCAGCCGTTTGCCTCGGTTAGTCTGCACGCCTCTTCGCCTCCGAGGAAGGTGTGGCATGGACCGGACTTGGTCCAAACGGCTCTGTGTGCTTTGTACCCACGGTGCCAGGACAACTGCTACCACAATAAAAACAAGACGATCACACAAGAGCCGCAGCGACAGCCGTAAACCACGGCCAAGAAACAACGCAACAAGTGGAGCGAACTTCTTCGCTCACCCATCCTTCTCCGATGTCCCGTAGACGAAGGCAGCAGGCCGCAGAGCGCAGGTGTGCAAGCGCGACGGGGATGTCGCACCACTGAACAACCATTGCAAAGTCGGAGGCGGGCATGCACAACAGAAATCAGCCAAGCAGACAGACAGACAGACAGATGGACGGATGGAAGGACGGACGCCGGAACGATGTAATGCAAGAATAGTTTCGTATCAAAACACGGGCATCAGGAGGTCGGTTGCAAATGTATTACGTCGATATTTCACCGCGACGCCACTCCGTCTCAATTGTCTCGAGACCAAATCACCACCCCACACCAACTAGGGGAGTGAAGAGGGACTGACTGCAAACGGGATACAGTTTTATGGACCAAGAGAGGTCCTTGCGGCGCTCTACATAGGCGGTATATATAGCTATATCTTGACGGGTACAAAACAAACACATTAGTGCTGCCAATTGCACAAACTTTGTTGGTCTTGAAGATATTCGTGACCTTTCCTATGTTTACTTCGTACACTACCGCTTCCTAGCTTCCCAGGTGAGTATCGCGTACTTCGTACGAACTTCGTCAAGCTACGTATCTGGATAGATTGGCGTTTAACACTTATCGAAACGTTATCTAGAGGACGACCAAGTCGCTTGACATTCATGTTGCATTATTTAGCTTCCGAACCTGGCGTCGAGGACTCTTGCTTCAGCCCTGGCCACGGCCCGCGCCTTCATATCATCTTCTCCTTCGTGCTCGGTTGGCCCTTGCGCTTTCTCCGCAGACGAAAACACGCTGGACGAGCTGGTGAACACCAAGCCCTCTACCCCGCACTCCAGGCAGCACTCAATCACCCTACTTACACCTGGTCGTGTTGTGCGTCCAGAGACGGAGGAATATGAACAAGAGTTTGGCAGGCACGGGGCAGTGTGAGACAGGACATCGCAACAAGACGCGCTACAAGTCCGATGTCATTTCTGTGGGAAAACTCGTGTACGGTTTGTGCAAGCAGTTCTTCGTGTCAGCTGCGAGACCCACCCTTGTTCACCTGCTGTGAAGGCCTGCAAGTCGGAGTCGTTTGGCGAGGGAGGGAGATCTAGCGCCGAGAGCAAATACACGGTGTCGGCGCCGGTGCAGACCTGTGAAATAACGCAGGGATCTGAACCTATGAGCAGTTTGAATTGGGATCCGGTGAGCATACCTAACAATTTAGCTCTGTGGTGGTGTAGGTTATGTTCATCATGCACCTAACATCCAGCTGCGTGTGGCGAAGAGGCCGATTAGCTATATTACTGCGCATGCGAATCCGATGAACCGCACCAGCGCGGCGGTAGCGACACATCAGGACTGCTCTGTAGACACACAGGAAAGGTGTGCTCCGATCTTTGGCGTGTGTCAGGTTCGGAGTCAAACGAATCTCTCACCCAAACGGCATTTACGAACTACAATTCCTTAACACGTGTTGTTCTTTCGCCCTTCCTCATCCCTTTGCTTGTGGCACTCCCTCACACAAGAACACCACACTGCCCCCACCAAAATGTGCTTACGTCTTTCAGCCCTTCCCAGTTCTCCAGCACGGGCGAGGACCTAACCTCGGCGGTGATCGCTGATGTTGCAATACTGCCCGCGAGGGTTGATCCAAAGCTTCCTCCACCAGATAAAACAACGCTAACGCTGGCGCTGCTGCCGCTTGGCTGCGCTAACATCAGCATGCTGTCGGCGTGTAGTGCACCACAGAACAGCAGTGCTTTGTTTGCGCAGGTACATGCATGAGACCGTCATGGTGCTTGTGCGGGCCAATTTGCATTGCTGGGGCGACGCGCGTTGATGCACCCCCCCTGTAGAATGTCCAAGCTTTCTGCCCCCCAAGAATGTCCGCAACCCTTCACATGATCATCATGGCACTCACTGCCACACCTGGCAGCTGCGCTATGGAAGTGGACAAGGATGCCGTTTCTGCCATGCAAGAGTCCGTGGACCAGCTAGCTCTCAGCATGTTCGATTCCCTTCGATTAATCCCATTTTCAGAGGAAGTCAAAGGGGGGGCGAGGGGGGTGGCCCCGTTGCAGCAGCAGCAGCCGGGACAACCCGATGCAGCTCCCCTGAGGCGGGCGGTTACCACTAACGCTGCGTGGGCGGACACGGTGCAGTCCCTGGCAGATGGGGTGCTGAAGCAAGCGAGAGCGCTGGATGGCCTCATCGATGTGCTGCCGGGGGCAGAGCTGCGCGAAGACCAGCAAATGGAGGCAAGTGACACACCTTTTTGCTGCCTCTATCACACATGCATTCATTACCTGCTGCTGTTGGGCTCTCTGATCATGTGACAAGGACCGGTGATGGTAAGCATAGCACGGCCGGGGTATGCTGAAGTTGCTTGGACGACCGGGATTGGTGTACCTGACGTGCCTATCTTTCGGCCGCTTCGCGCATTTGCCGTGAAGCACCATTTTTGCATGTTTGGCCCGCTGCCCACTGCACCAGGCCCACTCGCCCCCCCCCCCCCCCCCACCGCCAAACCTATCTCCTGCTGCTGCTGCACACTCACACCACCCCTGCCCGGTTTGTATGTCAAACAACAGGAGATTGCTCGTCTCGACAGAGAAGGAAAGCTCAAGAGAACCGAGCTGGCTAAGATGGTGGAGAAGGCGGAGGCACTGAGCAAGGGGGTGAACGGTAGCCTTGACCAACTTGCCGACCACATGCTGGGAGCCCCGCGATAGCAGCACGCGTTGGAAGAACATGCCTCTTGAGCGGGCCTCAGCGGTTCTCTTGCGCTGAACCTGTCGTGAGTGATGTTGTTGAGGACCAGCTGTTATGGAGTGGCAATTCGTCGATCGAATGTGGACGGGAATCGATGGAGAGCGAAGACGGACGCCCGGAACAAGGGAGGCAATGGTTGTGAGAACGTCTCGTCGCCTGCATCAACAGCCACATCTTCTGGCCTCAACGGGAACGAAGAAGGATGAACACGACCAAACTAACGGCTCACGGACTTGGATAAAAAAACTGGTCCGCAAGCATGAACCGTTCGTCCTTTTCATCGGACTTGACGTTGAACTGACGCGGAAGACCGATGCAAGGAATCGATGAAGCGGCACAAGGCGGAGTGTGTATAATTAGGCTAGAAGACCTGAGACACTCAGTCAGGCGAGGGTTGGTTGTGAGATACTTTTTAGGTTTTTGATATGGTCGTTTGGTTGAATTGATGGCAAGCAGAACCCCCTCATGTAGGCAAGGTCCCTTTCAGGCAGGACAAGTTTTCGCGGTTGAATGGTTTGTGTTTGTGGCATTTGCTCCGATTGTGTTTGACCGTGTTTTCGGACGAACAGTCTAGGGAAAATCTGTGGCGTGCCCAACATCTGATGGGGCAGCAGTTATCATGACGTTCGCAAAGTAGTTTGTTGGGAACGTGTGAGGATGTGCATATGAAAAATCAGCCACACCGTTCGGCAGGAGAAATACATATCTTTCTTAAATCTTGGGGGCCAAGTTCGCGAAAAGAAGAGCGGGTACGACAGGAGTACGACACACCTGGTACACAGCTGCAAGAGCTTACGAATCACAGCGCACAGCCCACAACGTAACAGCAGCACGGGGTTGGCGTGTTGCATGCCTGCTGTGGCAACGGTGATCGCTGATGAGTCTAACCTACAACAGCGTTCACCCTTGCCCACCTGTGAGCTCGGAACGCGTCGACTGCTTTCGTTAACCTCGCGCCAGCAAGCATCACAGCGGTTGTGCTACTGATGGAAAAATCAGGGGCTTATAGACACAAGTTGTCCCTCGGCAATATTGCCGTCGTCATCGGTTACGTACCAGCAATTACGTTTGGAGACAGGGTGTCCCTTTGCAGTTGCTGGTGTTCACCAGCAGCTGCTTCGTCGATGTAGGTCGTCTCTGTGCGACTGTTGGTCTCTGTTGCTGTATCGAAACGGGCTGTCGCATGCAGCCACCCACAGATGCATGTGCCGTAAGTAAGTGTGGCTGGCTGTTGCACCACACAAACACGATTCAATCGTGAGAGAGGACCGCCACGCATGCGGCCACCCACAGAAGATGGCTCTTGTAAGAATTGCTACACGCGGTCGTTGCTTTTCGTCAAATGAACACTACGAACAGGAGTCAGTGACTGACTTTCTTCGTAGCGAGCTTCGTGGCAGCCGGCCACCGTCCGCTGTTGGTTTTGAGATTTTTTATTTCTGTGTTTGCTGGTTTGTCTTGGACGAGAAATAGACTGACTTGCTCTCGACCGGTGATGAAAGAAAGACGGTGGCCCACAGAGTCGAACTCAAAAGGGGAACGTGGTGGCAGACAGCTTGCTTGGGGTTATTACAGTAGGAGTCGATCGAGACTATCTAGCGGCCACGACGACGTCAATACGAAAGACTAGGGAGTTCATGACGCCGGGAACAAAGAACGACCAAACAAATAATTATCATGCGTTGTGGCGTGCCTGTATGCCGCTCACAGGTGGCAAGAGGTGCAGGTCGTAGTGGGTTGTTTACCGATCACAGTCTGTTCAAGGAAGGTTGCGGACGGTGTGCGAGGTTCGGAGGACGGGCTTGACCTGAAAATGTTTGTTCAATTGTTTTTCTGACACAGGGATAGCTGTACTCGGCGGCGCGTGCGGTCTTAGGTTGTGACCAGATGGCAAAAGTCCGTGCTCTTTCAACCCGGTACCTCTGAACACCTGGGTTATTGTGGGTTGCCTGGCAACTGCTGTATGCGCAAGAGAAGCTGGCAACGTCTATACTACTTCATCTTCTACCCGATGGGGCTAGATGAATAAACTGCAGCGGGTGAAAGAAGCAAAGCGGCTCGCCATCGTGCTCTCTCGTGACGTGCCTTCTGTCTACCTTCCCTTGTGCCCCAATCGTCATCAGCAGCACTCGAACCGATACAACAACATCAGCAGTGTCCATGCCGTTCGGGAGTACGGCATCTTTCGTGGGTGGGTCATCCTCGTTGTTCGCTGCACATACGTACGCTCGCATACATATCCTGGCTGCTGCGCTGGGGGCTGACCCATTCCCTCGTTGGAGCCTTGTCAAATGACCACACACGATTAATGTGCATTTTCGCATCTCGTCCCAAAGGTCACCCAACCGCCGTGGATCGCTCGCATGTAAGCCACGTGAAATGCTCAACCGTGATGCATCTAGCCACCTAGCTGATGGTAGCGACCTTCTTCGCGCATCAAAGGATCTGTCCCACTTCAATTTTTTGTGTTTACGGTATCAACAAGCATTCAAACTAACCTAGAGGGAACGCCGGTTGTTTTCGCCTGCCACGAAGACAACCAGCGTCGGCCCTTGAAAGGAGACACTCGATCTCCGCCAATACAAGTGTAGACCTGGTCCAACTTGTACAACGTTCCCCGGAGGACATCGGCACACAAATCAGCAACAACGCCACTGATCCACGCTTCTAACATTTCTACTGTTGGAACGCCCGCTTGAAAGCCCCGAACAAGCCCTTCTCTTCCGGCTCCTCTAGCGGTATCTCTCCGGACTCGAACTTGTTTCGAAGGTCATACACGAACGCCAGGGCTTCTTGCTCGGCCTTCGTGAGGTCTGCGGGGAGAGCACGACCGCGGGCGCAGCAAGGGCAAATGATTGGGGCCACGGCAGCTATACGAAACACGGACTGGTACTTCTTAACTCTTCGCTCATCGAACAAGCCAAGGAATAAAACATGCGCATCCTATCTCAGCGCGTTGACAACCGGCCGTCACGCACACCTAGCACCTGCACAGGCATCACTGGTCAACAATAGGACGGAGAGTACAGCTAACGCCCGCAAAAGAAAACCTCTGGTTTAGGGTGTTGAGCTCCAAATGGCCGCCAAATAAGTGTTAGCGTAGGGGTTCTGAACCGGGCTCATAAATGGTGCTCCAGTTCCTAGCTATTGAGTTTTTCGAGGGTATATCAAATCTTTTCGTCGATGTCGTCGTCTATAATAGCAGGATGCCGGACTCCCAGCAGACGGTTGGGTCGAGTGTGCACGTACGTCCTCTCTCCACAGTGATGGAACGGTGTAGCTGGTGCCATTTCCGTATCCGTTATGAGGCAACACCTGCCAACAAAATTGCACTTCTCATCCTTCTCCTTCTCCATCAGAACTGCGGGCAAAGCGTTCCTTTTTCTGCTCGCCGCGGGGTCTGGCGTTGCTGGCGGTGTTGGTGGCAGCAGCCAATAGGTATGGTTCGTTCTTGGTTGGACCTGATCCACCACCCTCCCTACCATACACATACACGACTTCCTCCCCGGGAAAAAAAAAAATCGAAAGGGTTCAGTTGAAGGCCGGGGCTATCCCCGGGCTGTTATTTCTTAGCTGCAAAGTTGTCAAGTGGGGGCGCTACGCTGCAGTGCGACCGCGGATACATGCCTGGATGCCAGTAGTCGATGATCAGGACGATTCTGTCGCGCCGAGAATCGTTGCGGGTCTCGTGTTCGAAGCTCGTGTCCAGGATCAGCGCCTTGCCGTTCTCCCAACTCCTCTTCTCCTCCCCAACCCGCATCCAGCAATCCTCCGGTACGTCTACCCCTGGTGATGGCCAGCCGGTCGATTCGATCGATTGAGTGGGTGCAGTAGTGAGGTAGGGTTAGATTTACATATAGCAAAACCTACTACAGCGGCCTGAACACGGCGCTGAAACTGCGACCTGACACCGTAAGCCCCGATGGTCCAGCGGCGTAACCTTCTGGCTCTCTAGATTTGCGGGTTCGAATCTCTCTGGAGCAGAAAGAACATATTATTCAGTAGGTGCGACAAGCATATGGTAGTCGTGAGTAGACAAGAAAGGAGGGATTAAACGGCTGAACTCTTCTCGCGTTACAAAAGGCAAGCACCGCAAGGTGGGGAGGTGGAGAGAGAACGAAAAAGCACCTCTTGCTGTACCTTCCTCCCATGCGACCCCAGCTGTTGCGTAAAACACACAAAAACTCCTTCTCTTCAACGCCAACCACGCTCAAAACACACTGCTGTGTCCGCGTACACCGAAGTCAGCAAGCTTAGGCAGCAGCGCTACATATCGGAGGGTGGGGGCAACGCAGGTTGCTTGGTTGCTCACCGAGATGTGTGGTCAAAATGAAATTTCTTCCGTCCGTGTGCGGAGACACCCCGCTCCCGGGCACCTGCCGCGCGAACATTACTCCGCGCACCGCCAGGGGAATCTCCAGCTCCTTCAGTAGCTTGACGGTCTTGGGAAACTTCTCGCAATTCTCCGGTATCCACTCGCCCAGCCGCTGAAGGCGGACGCCGCTCCAACCCTTGCCCATGATGTTCATGTTGACGCTGTCTTTCGCAAACCCCGACAAAGGGTCGTTCCAGAACGCCTTGAACTCGTCGATGACGATGCTTGACCTCTCCTCCATTTCGCTTATCCACTCGAACTCCTGCGGTTCCCACCACGGCTTGGCTCGCAGGCCCTCTACATACTCCTCGCTGGGCTGGAGCAGGTAGGAAATCCGGGAGACAACGAGCACGGGTTTGAGTACGACGACAGGATAGTAATTTGCAATAAAGGTATAATCAGATACCTGGCGTGGAACCTGCACACCAGTTAGTCTAAACTACAGCAGTAGTAGCCTCGAACCGCAGGGCGCGCTTCACCTCTCGGAGTTGCAATGCTTTGGGACGGATATGAGAAGGACGACCACGCGTCACCAAAATGGTGTGGACGAAACGCTCGATGACATCATGAACCAAGCAAGTGGAGCTTGTGTTAAAAGGCCCGAGTCCTAATCCTCCCCCGAAAGTTCTCCGCACTATGCATACGAGCCCCAGCGCAAAAACCAACCTGATGGAGCGGGCCCAGCGCCTTGTACTCGAGCTCTCCTTTGCAATAGCGGACGAAGTTCTCCACACGGGAGAGGTCCTCGCCCTCGAAACCAACTTTGAGGCCCTCTGACACCATACGGAAGAACTGTTTTCTTCGTGGGGTCATCTCCAAAGCCTTCAGCTGCTGTTTCTGCTGTGGTTCGTTTCTTGTGCTCATCCTCACTGCTGTTACAGGAGCTCGTCTGCCGCTGCAGCTGCTTGCCGCAGCTGCTGATGTTGCTGAGTTGATGGCACCAGCAGGGTTGGACGTACCACGTGGCAAGGAGATTGGAGCGAGAAAACCCAGGGCCTGTGCAGGAAACACAGCGAGAACAGCGCGTTACCTCAGGACGATAAGTGTAATATGGCACAGCTCATGTTTCAGCACCCGCAGCTCTGCTACGCCCGGCTGGATGTGCGGCAGCACATCATACAAACTCACTCATGGATCAAATACCGGGCGTGTTTGACACACAATCAGGCTTCGGCGCCAACGCGTGAGGAAATCGAACTTGCCATCGGGGCCAGCATCGCTGCTCCAAGAGCTACTCTGGAAGCCGACATCGTTCCGGACGAAGCGTGAAGAGCAGTCAGTGACGGCAGCGACAGAGTGACACAGGACACACAGGACACCGCGGACGAGGGGGCCCACTTTGGAGAAGTCAGGGGGGGCGCGGGAGTTGTACGGAGTTTGCATGTTGGTTCGTCACTGAACTGTCAGGTCGAGGGTCGGAGGGTCGAGGTCCGAGGAATAAACCGAGAGTCATCGCAGCGTACTATAATATTATAGCGAGGTGTGTCCGCCATTGGGGAATGCGTGTGTGGAGGAGCCTATATTTGGTGCCAGCGAACGCACTATCTTAAGCCGAGAGGAAGGTGCTTGTTGGATGTCCTTCGCCAGCGTTTTATTTGGGCCGTGTAAGCGGCACCTTGCTACTCGAACGTGCTGCGTGGCACGTCGTGCGTCGGCTTCTTCTTTATGTCCTCTGGCGGACGGGAGAAGGGAAGAACCGCGATCATCTCGCGCAAGAGCGAGCGGTCCAGCAGAGCAGGGTCTGGGAGCGGTACAATGTAGAAGACGGTATCACCATTGGTCACCTCCCGGGGCGACCGACACCAACAGCAACAGCGGCACGTCATTGAACATGGCAGTCGATAAGGAACAGCAACAGCAACAACGACACCAAGAACAACCACAGCAGCAGGCGCAGACGAAACCAGCCCTCCCACCGAAGTCTCCCCAGGCAGTGGCAATGGAGGAGTTCGCCGATTTGGAGCGCAAGCTCGCCTCGCCGCGGGAGGCACCGAGGAGAAAGACCCCGGAGCAACTCATGATGGAGGAATTCGCAGCTCTTGAGCGGAAGCTTGGCTCAACACAACAAGCGAGTGCCGGTGGTGCTCAACCCGTCGGGCAATCCAGTCGTTTGAGAAATACCTTGACGAAACCGGAGGTATGTGGCTGTATGTACGTGCACAGCAGTGCCTTTTTACAGCGTTCCATTTTTTAGCTAATTAATCAAGTGGCTGCTCGTCCTCCGAAAACTCTCGACGAAACATCAATTCGACACCAATGCCTTGAAAGGACACCGTCGCATTGGGTACGACAACGACTCCCGCTGTAGGCTATGCTCTCTCTGTAACACCTGGCTACTGGTGATTTGTCTCTGTGTTTTTGCTCCTGCTCGTTGAGAATTTGATGTGTTGCGACTGGGAGCTTTTTCTACTTCGAAGTCCATACAGGAGTACCTGGTGTGAGCGGGCAACAAGCCGGAAAGTTCAGCGCTGTCTGTTTGCCTGCCTTGTACTTGGTCTTCCATTCATCACACAGAGCGGCGTACGACAACACACGAAAGTTGACCACTATTGTAACCTCATCTTGACTGTTTTCGGGTTGTAACCTACCTCGCCATCATTCATCACCAGGAACCTGAAGCGGAAGAGTGTTGCGGGAACGGGTGCGCGACGTGCGTCTGGATTGGATACTGGTGAGACTGCTCTGGGTTTCTCCAGATTTGTGTGTGTGTGTGTTTTTATTATTAGCGTTGACCACGCTAACCGGCTGACCAACGAAAAGACGTCAGCCTCAGTGCGGGTGAAAACCAAGAACACTTCTAAATGCCATTAACTGGGACCCCGTGAGGGGGCGGCATGGGGGAGACTAACCTATTCTCCGCATCAAAGACAGAAACGGTAGCAACAGAAGAAAACTGCACACGTCTACGAAGGCTGCTACCTCGCACTCGAGTTCGTTTTGGAGTGCTTTCACCGTCATCCTCCTTCCTTCCAACTCCATCGTTCTCACGGCCATTTTCATAGCAACTTTTCGACATTTCCTCTCTAGCCCTGCGTCGTTTGTGGTGGGGAAGGCAATCTGGCTCGACGCTCTTGCTCTCTTCCACGCCATTATTCCCTCCTTGATTGCTGCTTTGATCTCTATCTTGTCCTCCTCCCGTTCCCTCTCCTCCTCCTTGATCGCTGCCAAACGAGTTCCCGTCATTGCCATCCTGGTCATTTCTAACTGCACTACTACAAGGGAGTGTGTGTGTTTTGTTCATAAACACAAGGATTATTACTATGCCGCGCCGTTAGGCCCTGAGCGATCAGCATTCGCCGCACGCGGCCGCTCGTGGGGCTGGAGCTCCGATTCTTAAACCGCGAAAGCAGTTCAGCCCGTTCTTGAACGCTTTCACAGTAAACAAGGAATGATCCATTAAAATTTCAGCTGACTCTATTCTGTACACCGTGACGGGTTGAATTTTCTGCGATGGTCGGTATGTGTATGTATCCGCCCCTGCTTTTCGTGGCACGCACACGGCACACACACGAGGACGAGTGAAGATGACGCACACGGAGAATGGTGTACATCGGCACCGTCAGCGATGGCAGCGAGGTTTAGTCTCATTCACTTACCAGCAAACAACGCAAGGCCCGTCTCTTCGCGAACTCGTGCAGCGTATGGAAGAAACGGTTCACGAATTTCCGGGGTTTAAGTTCTTGGAGACTCTTACTGAAAGACTGCCACACACATGGACACCATGCTTCTGGTGTGCACGAATGATATTGTACCATTTCGTGCTGGCTTGAGGTGAATGTAGTGATCATGTGTTCGAAGCCGTTGTGTATTCATGTGTGTAATGCTACGCCGGGAGATTCATGTTTGGACACTGCGCGGAGAGAACGGGGCACGCGAGCGCCCCGGCCGCACGCAGCCCCTGGAAAAATGTACTAGTCTGTTCAGATGGCGTATGTGTCTAGCTCGGGTGCTCAGAAGTACGAGAATCCACGCACACGCAATCGTGGAAAATCGTGCGGTCTAACGCGTTGCAAATGGTCCCGAAAGTATGGATGCGTGCGTGTTGTAACAGCAACGCGATTAGAATCAATGACGAGGAGAAATTTTGCTAGATATTCGTTTTTCAGCGGCTTCGCACGAAACTCAGGATCTCGACTCTCACCAAATAAACTCCATATCTCGACCCTTGTCGTTGCTCTCCCGGTCTTGGAACCTACCGAAACAGGGAGGAGCTGCAAGCGTGGGAAGAAGCGGGACGCGAGCGCGAGGAAGCGCCGCCATGAAGTCCGGCGGGAAGATTCAGATTTTTATTTTATTTTGTTCTTGTGTGTTGCCACCCCCGAAGGTCCACTCTCTTTGAAATTTTGTCCTTTCGGTGCTAGCCGAAGCCAGTCCCCCAGACGTCTGGGGGAGCGTTTCCATCTGTGTTTGCCGGAGAAGAAAGTCGGTTGAGGTTGTCGAATATCTCAAGCATGTAGATGTCGGGGGCAAGGTTAGCTGGGAATATCTATTGGCTGCTGCGCCGGCGACGAGATTTGCACAAACACTCAGGTTTGTGTGGTGTAAATTGATGGTACAGATTTATGCATGTATATCCAGCCCATGACAGGCCCTGCCACGGCATGCAAAACGAGGTTCGGTTTGGTTGTAAGTACAATACAAGTCCATGGAGCCGTCAATAGATTATGTAGCAGTTTCAGCCGAGAAGAACCTCGGATATGCTATGCAAGCCTCCTCTGCCTGGCCAGTGGGGTCTAAGCACATCTATGAATGTTTGGGCATTGAAACGTGCGAAGCCATCCGTTGGTGCTGATGTAACGATTTGTGTTCGCCGAGGTTGCCATTCCGCCACGTAATGCATGCAGCACAGATTAGCGCATTGCAGAACAGTAGGGCTCGTGACGCTACCCAGGAGACCAAGCTCCAGCCCCACGCTTTAGTAGGGATTGTTTCAACGTGAAGACTGCCACGATACGCGGGTCGATTGTCTGAAGGAGTCGGATTGAGGGCGGAAAGTTGCAAAGATTGATTGTCACTTAACTTCGGCGAGGTTTTCGATTCTCCTAGAACCAGGGACTGGTTTTCGTGTGAAACGAAACCTCCACGCGGATGGTTTTTGGAACCGGAGTGACATCTGAATTGGGACCTTCCCTCAGTGAAATGTACCCTTCATCCAACTCGTCCAACGCACTTCTGCTATCCTCCACGTGCTGCCTTACAGGCGAAGCATTTACCGCACCTTGCTACCGATCTCACTGCCTTCGCGATGTCCGGCCGTGTTTGTGTGCCAATCGCATCGTTCTTGTCAAACTCCGTATGTTTGACCCTAGTGGGGAGGTAACACTCTTTGCCCCACGCTACTCCGTGCTCTGCTGCCAACCATTGGGCATATGCCTGCTGAGAAATTTCTTTGAGCCTCTCTCAAGGTCTCTTCTCTAAAACACATGCTGAGTACCACCGCGACTCTCCAAGGTTATTGATGGGGAGCATCTCATTGAGATCCCTACCAAACTGGTCACACCTTTACTTATTTCCCACAGCAAGAAATTGAAATGGTATGATCATGTAGACACCCCGCTTCTCAGTACCTGCCAAACACTGCAAAAAATCCAAAATCAACGAACACCTCATCAGGTGCCCATGCCGTTGATTTGATGCCTGCCCCAAACCATACCGTATGCATACAAGCTCTTGCACAAATTCACGACCATACACACAAGAGAGCATCCCCATCAAGACCAGACTGCACAAAAACCTGCAGATTATCAACGTGTGGCACAAGCCCACGTTGTCTGCACACGCCAAAGCCGCCAACTAACTGAACACTTAAAGCACCAACTTCGAACTGGCTCCGTCTACAGGTTGTTGCTAGGCGGGCTCAAACGTTCTCGCGTTCAGCAACCCACACAATTTTGTAGCCACCGAATGCTCCCTCTCCTAGTGCTCCCACCTCACCGCCTCCTTCAATTTCTCCGGTGCCCGGAGATCGTTCGCACAACGCTGCGGCAAGTCCGGTCGCTCATCGGCCTCCTCGAGGAGATCAGCGCCCATGTCTTCACGGGTGGCGACTCTCATCGCAAGAGCACGGATGGCAATCCCCCGCGCCCCTCCCCCCCCCGCTCCTCGCGCCCCCTTCCTCAGTGCTTGGTGGCGGCGGTGGTGGGTCACGGCACCCAGCGTCGACAGCATCACGGGTGGCTATCAACGAGATCAGCGTCGCCTTGTCCACCATCGAGAGAACTCGGTGACGGCGCCGAAGAAGCGGTGTCATGCCCAGAAGGCGACGACGGTGGTTGCGGCGGCGCCGGCTCTCGGGGACGCTGTTGGCGCTGCTGCTCCTCCCCCAGAAAACGCACACCCTGCCAGCCGTGAATCCGTGTCTTTCATCCGAATCCCAACTGCCGAGCTTCCGTTGCGGAGAGCGGCGGGTACATCGGCTCGACAGCGTTGCTCACAGGCGGCGGTGGCGGCGGTGGCGATGGTGACATGACGCGGACCGGCAGTGCGGTTGCGGTGGTCACGGGGGCAGGAGGGGCAAGGTGTAGGTATAACGGTGTACCCCCTGCGGTGGCGGTGCGACGGTGGCCGCGGGCACAAACAGCGGCGGCCGTCGGCCCGGCGTGACCTAAGAACCCCACCCCGTCCCGATGTCCGGCACCGGCGCTGGTGCGATGCCTAGACTCCCCGAGACGTCCAGACAAGAAGTGGTTGTCGAGACACCTACCTGCGCCACGGCCAGCTCAACCGTAAACATTGCACGTGATTGTTGGCGCCGTGGAGATGGACAATTCTTCCGGGCTGCACATCGGACTCGGGGTGGCTGGCCCTTGACGCCGCACCATCCCCTCCTGGGAAACAAGGTTGAACTTCACGCGGTGGTTTCCGCCCGAAAAGCACTCACTCGTAGTGTAGACTATTTACTGCTGGCGACATCATGCATCCTTTCGTTGGTATTGGTGGCGGAGCGGGAAAACAACCGCACGCCGGGATGGCGGAGTCTAGCCGAAGCCATCCTTTCCATGTTGGGGGTGGAGCCTAGGTCCACGCCGGGGAGGGAGAGGACGGGTTCGTTCCCCGTCCTCCCTGAAGAACCTGAAGATATGCTGCTGCCTGCTGTGGAGCTTTCTTTTCTTACTGCTGTAGCTGCATCCTGAAGATCTTCGCTTGCTTGGTGATATGTAAATCTATGCATATGCCAGCGGACCATGCATAAGCTACGTGTTGCTAACAGGACGCTTAGTGGGGACGCTCATGGACATCGGAACGCTCAGCCTCCACCCTCCACAATCATCTAGAAAGACCCTCTTCTTGGAGGAAGCGGAGGAGGGGCCACCGGCGCGACTGTCAAAAAATGCATAATTGCACCGCAGGATTGGCCAATCAAAACGTTGACAGTTTGACGTCACCCATCCCGTAGGCCTATATCCAAAGTTCAAAGTGTTCAAGTTGTGTCTTTTTTCCGCGCTCTTGCTCGCTTCACACCCTCCTCTTTTCCTCTCCTCATCTCCTTTCGCCCAGTCTCAACTTCGCGACCTCTTACTGTCTTACCACCAACCCTTGGTGACTATGAAGATCACGGGAGCCACCGTTCTGGGAATGGTCGCCTCTACACAGGCGTTCCACATGCCCGCGAACGTCAAGCCGAGCGTTGCAAGGAGGAGCAGCACCTCCCTCGCTAGCGCTCTCGAGCCCTTGTCGGACGCCGAGGTGAGAGAGAGCAAACATGACGTGGGACTGCCGTGATGCCGCTCTCTGTCTTGTTCCCTTGGCTAGGTCCGGGCTTGCGTTGGGTCGGTCTTTGGCAGCGATTGCTGCCGTTCATGTAAGGAAGCCAGGTTTGCTTTCTAAGGAACAAAGGGCCGGACCTTTTTTTTGTCCGACCCCATACGGCCTGGCGCGCAGCAGCAGCAGCAGCAGATGTTCGCCAAGTACGTCCCTCCCGTTGTTGCTGCAGGGTGCAACCCGTGAGGGGACGAACACCGTGGCTTTCCCACCAAGGAAACGGGCTGGCTGTTAGAAACAAGAAAGACCCGGCGCAAATGTCGATGTTTGATGATGTACCTGATTCTCAACTGATACACAGCAACCCCATAACAGGATTCTTTGAGCAGCAGCTGCTTTTGGATGCGCGAAAAGTCGTGTTTTTTCAGACTCTGCTTTCCTGTTCCCGTTGCCACAGGCGATGGCTTCGCTTGAGGCGATCGGGGGTTACGATGTAGAGACGCTCGGCAAGCCGCTCGACCCGCTTCACCTGGCGAAGTACATCCCGGCAGAGACCTTGAGGAAGTACGAGACGGTGCACTGCAGAGTGGCGATGCTGGCGTGCGTAGGATACGCTTTCCCTCGTGAGTGCGTTTTTCATTTTTTGTCGGGAGTGTGTTCCTTGTTCCTGTAGATCTAAAGTCCGTTGCCAAATGAATTTCCGCACCATCTTTCAATGCCGATTGCTCAGCCGCAGAAACACTTCAGTGATGTTGACGAGAATGGCGGCGTTGGAACCGTCTCGTGAGGGCTTTCGAGCACGTATCATTTGATTGCGGATCCTTCTTTTGTCGTGGAGTGTAGTCGCGCTTTGAAAATCGGTCAGGGGTGTGGTATCTAACGCAACCTGACGTACCTGTGTGTACGTTGAACAGCTGCTTCTGTCCACTACAGTGGTGCATGTGACTTTTTATTCAAGCTCACAGACGGGAGCCTTAAAGCTCTTTTTTTGTCTGGCAATACTTGACATGTAGCGGCGCACGTTGGCATATGCAAAGAGCTCGCAAGTACAAGTAGACAGAACCTAAATAACGATAAAGAGCACCCCCATCGCTTGCGACATCAACTGCTCAGCCCTTACTGTCGAGACCTTCGTGATTTTGCGCTGAACGCGTTTTTTTGCCAAGAAAACATTGAAATCTTCAACCATACCATGATACTGCTGTTTGCTGTTCGTTGGGGACCATAGACGCGATCTATGGGCATGTCTTCGCAAGAAATTTCGTCCCTTCGTTTCTTATTCTAGCCATGTTGTGCACAGTAGTTACCTTACCTCTGACTTCAACCCCTTGGGAAAATTGGTACTCTCTCGCCGGGTCCCGAGAGAAGACAGCAGTCGGTTGCAAGGGATTCCGGAAGGATTGTTGTTGTGCGCGACCGCGGGAAACAGAGTGTACAGAGATAGAAGCACTAATTTCGCACCACACTCGACATGGTCCTTCTTGTCTACTACGAAATTGCGGCCGTGTAAAACACGGTAGAACAGCAACACTCTGTTATGTAGTTCTTGAAAATCACCTCGAAAGCTGGTAGTTTCGCTGCGCTTCTGTCTGCCGTCGTCAAGTCTCGGCAAGGAAAACCAACGTCACATGCAGACCATGTGTTTCAGCTTTGTTCCAAGTCGATGTCAGTTGGATTCCCAGCGCCAACTGCACGAGACAGGCATGAGGAATGTTCCAGCAATGTTCGGTGTTCTTACGAGTGTGTTGCAACTGTTGGCTGGCGGACCGAAGGGAGAACTCTTGTGCTCGTCTGTTGGGTTGGATAACGTAGAATTGCGGCACTTGTTTCCATGTGTTGGGTTCCTTGCACCTGTTGAGACACGCAAGTGCCGTAGTGGAGAACCAACGGCAGAGTTGTTGGCCGCTGCTGCTACTAGTTCTGGGCATGAGAATACTGCTGCTCCGTGCCGGTTTTGCTTGCTGCCAATCAGCTGGTAACAACTACCGTGCCCTTCCTCCTAATGTTGAACCCCTCCTTCTCCCTCCACTTCCCTCGCTCCTCTGTGCCCCGCCGATCGACCGACCGTATTGACCGCATCTACAGAAATCTTCGGCATGTTCGATGCGACGGACGTGCAGTCGGCGAACGGGATAGACGCGCTGTTCCAGACGGCGCCTGAGGCGTGGGCCCAGATCATCGGCGCTTGCGGCATGTGCGTTCTCTCGCTCTTGACCCCTGACGTTGAATGTGCTATCATAGCGTGATACGCACACTTATGTACACTAATGTACCACGCCGGAGGAGGCGCGCCATGGAGAGAAGGCGTTTGTCTCTTGGGGGGGGGGGGGTTCGGTTGATATCTGTGAACAGCAGTAGTAGTAGAGCGGCCCTGTTCGTTTTATGCCATGAATGGAGGGATGTTCAGCGCAATCTCGTCCGATATCGTGCGTTCGAATTACATTCTTTGGAGAGTCAGTCCGAATGGACCACCAGGAACGGTGCGGTGGAAGTTCGTAGCCACGGTGAAAGTTGAAAAGGCCACATTGTGCGTGGAAGAAGCACATGCATGTTAACATCTGGAACTCGGATTTGTTCCAAATTTTTTGAGACCCACAGGCCGACCCCGCTCATCCCTTGAGTCCTGATTTCTCCTCCCTGCCCCCCCGCTCCAACTCCCGCTGCCGGTGTCTCGCAGCGCCGAGGCGGCCCAGTGGAAGCACCAGCAGTCCGGGGACACCACTCCCTTCTACGACCCCTTCAAGGGCTGGCCCAAGACGGAGAAGCAGCAGGAGAAGATGAAGATGCGCGAGCTCAAGAACGGGAGAGCGGCTATGCTCTGCTGGGCCTCGTTTGTCTCGGCCGCGCTCATCCCGGGATCCGTGCCCGACTTCGCCCTCCCCTTCTAATCGGACCAAGCAAAACACAAGGGACGGAAGATAGCGGAGGACGTTTCTCTTTGGTCTCTTTTTTAGTGCGCCTTGTCATGTAAAAAACACCCGCGCACCCAAGCCGACATTTCTTCTTTTTTTTCTCTATTTTGGGGGGGAAGGGAGTCAGTCCCGTGACTTGTTTTGTGAAGAGACGAGAGGAAAAAGCCAAGGGTTGTATTTTTGACAATCTTTGTCGGCTCAGCGAGGAAATGACAAGAAGATGGGACACAAGGAGCAACCGGCAAGGATATGTGTTGTGTAATTAGACCTGCTTGTCTTCCTCATTTTGGAGTCGTTCGGAACGTATTTTTTGCGGAGGGAGAACTGCTCCTGTTTGTCCTCCCTACCCCTCCCCTCCTTCGCGGCGCATGTGACTTTTCCGCGAAGAGTGTGAAGGCCTCCTACACTTTGAACCTCGAAGTCCTAGATTGATGAAAGTGTGTGGTATGGGCAGGTTGTAATCCCCGCGATACGACGTGCCATGTTTGATCACATTCGCTGCTGCAGTAGAGGCTGGACTGCGGCAAGGGGCTCTTAATAGTACCGATCATATTTGAAGACAGCCTTTATAAGTCGTCGGCCCTTTATGCAAGAAGGCGTCCGGCACACCCCGGCTTTCTAGATGACTCGGTAGGTACGCGGCGCGGGGTGGGGCGGGCCTTGGTACAGTCTCTACTACGAGAGCGGGAAGAAAAAAAAAGGGGGCCAGAGCCTCACCAACCCAAGCAACAGGGTGTAATAGACGTAGATGATGCGCTTGGGCAATGTGCGACGATTTTTGGAGGATAGCTTTCCTTCGCACTTCTTCAGTGTCTCGGATTTTGTGTCGAGTCAAGTTGACTCGACGACCGAACATTAACGAAGCCAAAGGCGGTATATGCCCCTTTCCCCGGTCGCCTACAGAGTACAAGCGAGAGGTGGTTGGTAGTATCAATCTGCCCCTGCTGCTCTTGTGGCGCTTTGTCTTGTCCACGATGTGCATATGCTCTTGAATCAATAGGACAGTGCGCGTGCCAACAGCCACTTTGTTGTCTTGCTCCTAGGGCCACGCCATTAGTTGACGACAGTCTGAAGCGCATTCAGGGATTTTCCAGCTCTCTCCATTTCTTTCCACAGGGTTCTCGGACGGAAAACACAACAAGAAAGAGCATTCCGTACACAAAGCAGCCCTTTGCTCAGTCGATACTGGCCCTCGCTCTTTGGCGTTTTGTTGTAGATCGGACGTACAACGAACGGACGAAAAGAGCGTTCGCCTCTGTCACTTAACTTCAGTTTTTTGTTGCACTGTAGACCTGCCGAGCGGTGGGGTTGGCTACGGGCAACACCACCGACAGACGAAAAGCGTCCTCTCAACGTCGGGAAACAAGGATTTTCACCAAGAAAAATCGTAAACCTAAAGAAACCCAAAGAAACCCGATCGAACGAAGAAGGTTGGTGCGTTGCGTTTTTCGCGCTGTGCTGTGCGGACCAAGAACACCCGCCGCACCGCCGTCGACTCACTGCCTAAGAAGCACTTGCTTCATGCAGCGGTGTAGTGTGTAGCCCCTCTACTGTCTTCACTTTTTTTTTTGAGGTTGCACCCACCGCCCGCTGTGAACCCCGTTGCGGAGCTTCCAAAGTCCTGAGCCACTGCATGGGCACATCGTCTCGCCCTCCCAATAAATGGAACAACTGACAGCACAAGAATTCTGATGCAAACGATTTATTTTGCGAACTGAACACGAAACCGTCGGATAGGGGGGAGGACTCACTCCATGAAATCCGATAATCGGAAATAAATAAATGTATCCCGGTAAACCGTTAATCTACGGGTAGAGATGATTAGACCAGTGTTCCTGCTGCTAGAAAAAAACTAAGAATAAACGCAGAAATTGGCGCGATCGGTAGTGTTTCGAAACCGAAAACCGAAACGCGGCCACCACCACCACCCACCCACCAGGTGATGACCCATTTTTCACTTCTTTTGTCTACCACCGAGTCTCTAATCAAGTCGTGACCTACCACCAAAACGCCCAACACAATGGACGCAACAAAGTGCCCAAAATGCCGATAATTTCAACAAGCTCATGCGGGGCTTGACAAATAAAACAACCGACACAACATGCACGCGGGAAGCAAACGCAGGGAAGGGAGGGAATACAAAAGACCACCTACGGCTAAGGGCGTGTAGTAGTACGTGGTAGTGATGAAAATATACTACCGCTGTGACTGATTACACCGACGGAGGTCAAAGCAGAATCGTGACGTTCCATACTTTAAAATATGACGCACGCACAACACACCTAGCTGGGAACTCCTACAGCAGCAGCAACGTTTGTGTGCAACAACGTGGCCTTACAAACTACTACCAGACAGACTGAATACCGCTGCACCGACCGGGCGCAAACAAAAAATGCGCCAAAGCTGTGCGCCGACAAAAGCAGCAGGAAGGACGCAAAAAAACACCAATCGGGTCATGCAAAGAACAAAAAAGAACACGCACGACCAACAGCATTAAAAGTAAGTATCATAACAACAAAAAACAGCTGTAGCTCTCTCACGTCAAACCGAACACTGTAAAAACCGTCAACCCTTTCCAACAGGCGTGTGCCTACACAACCGAGCGCTGTCGCGCCGAGGGCACTGCTGGAAGGAAGGGTGTAGAGGCGACGACCACGCGCGTACCTACCCCGCACCAAAAAAATCGGTCAACTAGGAAATTCCCCCACGGGCGGGACGCCCGTCATCACGGGAGGGTCTTCTCTAGAGGCAACAAATGCTGCCGCTGCTGCCCGTCCCGTCGCGGCGACGGACTGCCGCTAGTGCTGCCGGCTCTGAAATCGCTCCTTCGCCCGGAATCTCTCCCTCTGTTACCCGCCGCGCCCATCGCCGCCGCAGCAGCCGCCGCCACCGCTGCCGCCGCCTCACCCTCCGGCAACACCGCGTCGCTGCCCCCCTCCAGGGGAAAGAACCCTGCCGCTGCCTCTTGCCCACCCTGGCCCCGAGCGTTGTTGTTGTTGTAACTCCCTCGGTCGCCGCCGCCCTCCTCGCTGAAAAGAGCGGCGGACGGTGCTCTCGCGTCGCCGCTACTGCTTTTGGTCCAAGGAACAACCTCCTCCTCCTCGGGATCGGGCGCCGCAGCGGACGGGTTCGGCGAGTACGTAAGCTCGCCCGACGAGTGGCTGCCGTCCCTTGCCGCCGCTGCCGCCGCCACCGCCGCCGCCGCCGCCGCTGTCGCGGTCGCCGAAGCCCTTGCGCTACCTCTACGGCTACCGCCGCCGCCACCGCCGCCGCTGCCCGCATCGTCGGACATGGACCGTACCGAGAGCGGGCTGTGGGTGTACGACAGCCCGACCAACGGGCTAGAAACCTTCTTGGCCTGGCCGTGCCACGAGTTGTCGGTGCTGTTGCTGAGGTGGCGAACTATCGTCGGAATCGTGCTATTAGGATTGTCGTTGTCGATCTCGTTCGGGTCCGCGGCCGGCTGTGCTGGCGCACCGGCTAGCGCGTCAGAAGCAACAGCAGCAGCGGCGGCGGCGGTGGTAGGAGACGTACCGTGCACGTCCCCCGCACGCGGGGAGGATGCGGAGGCTGTGGAAGGCGGTGTTCGGGGTGGTTCCGGCGCTCCCAGCAGTGGCGACTCCTCGTCAGCTGCCCCTTCTCTCCCCGCTTCCCGTTTTTCATCACCCGCAGGAGGACTAGAGAATTGCAACTCCCCCCCGGTGCTAATCGCCAGCGTTGGCGCCGCTTCTTCTACCCCTTTCTCTTCTTCCTCCCGCGGCCCCTCTGACGTTGACGACGCGTTTGCGTTTGCATCTTCTTCTTCTTCACCATCCTCATCACCACCATCACCACCACCACCACCACCACCATCCTGATTGTATTCCGAAGCCGCCGCCGTTACCGCCGCCGTTACCACCGCCTCAACCGGGGTTTCCCCCCCTCCCGCCGCCGCCGCCGCCGCCGGCCCTTCCCCGCCCCCCCCTCCCACCGACAACTCGGACAAGTCCGACAACGCCTCCCCCGCGGAGCTGACGAAGGAACTCGCGCTCGCGAACGACCCCGCGCTGTTCGTCCGCCGGCTGCTGCCCCCCGCCGACAGAACCCGCGGCGGCCTGCCCTGCTGCTGGTGCTGCTGGTGCTGCCGCCGCTGGTCGGAGCAGTCCCCGTCAGAATCTCCCAGGAATCCGAACCCGCCGGCGGGAGAAATCCACGAGAACGTTCGAGACCCCCGCTCCCCGTCGCCCCAGCGGGTGCCGCTCCCGCGGCTTGCTAGAGGCTCGTTCACGTACACCCGTTCCGACAGGTCCGGGAGGCGGGAGCGGGGCGCGGGGGCGCACAGCAGGGAGACCGAGTTCTGCCAACAGCCCTTGTGGTAGCTGTTGTGGTGATTTCGGTACACCGCTGGGGAGCGGGGCGGAGGTGTAGGGCGAGCGAAGGTTTTTGGGTTGGTTTGAGCGGGGGTGGAAGAGGAACGGACCATGAGTGGTGGCAAGCGTACATGCATACCCACGGCCCTCACAAAGGATTGTTCGTACGTGATTCTCCGGTGCTGAGCACAAACACACACGGAGTTCAGAGAGACACAGTGAGCGCACAACACGGCAATCGAAAGCTGCCAGATGATTCTATCAGGTTTATACGGTACCTCGCATGTCCTCGTTCGTGGTCTGCCCCTTGCAAAGGATCGTCTGGAGGTGGTACCACCAAAGTCGCAGCAGCGGGATCCCCACGAGCAGCGCCATCGCCGTCATCAGCAGATCCACAGGGCCTGCGTTCCGAGGAACACCCACGCATGGGCCGGAGAAGGGTGAAAGAGCGAAGCGCGTGAATCGAAACTCGCTCCGCCGCCCGGTTGGGTTCGAAAACATATCGTGTACAACAACAACACAAACGTGCATGATGAAAGGTGCAGTTTAGTCCCCTATATGCCCCAAACGTCGAGTGCCTAGCACCAAGGGGACTTGGGAAAAATGCTACCATGACCCGTTCACATTTGCCACCAAAATACCACCACAGAAACAATGCCCTTGCCATGACCGCCTCCATTTCACTCGTGCTTGCACGCATCGCATCTCTCTCTGCTCGCACTCTTCTAGACGGCGACGTCTGTACGGCACGGCTACATACGGCCATGCCAGTCATACAGCCAGTACTGCCCAGCACACCGCGTTGCACGTCATGTCTCATCGCATTAATTGTCGTTCGCGGCGTGCGTCCATCCTTGACAAGGGTCGGTAGGGCGTTCCATATTTATCCGGGTATCCGGGTATTGCACTCGGGTACTACCTGTATCCGAGCCTTTGTGAACATTGGTACGACATCCTGTACCCTAACAGACACTCCGAGAGCTTTCGTAGGACGTCCCCATACCCTTGGGTAACTTTTGTAAAAGCAGCACCGGGCAGGGTCGGGAAGCTTTTGCAAGGCATCCCCGTGTACCCTGCCCCATCTCTCGGGTAAAACGTTGTGTTGTAGCCTTTTTCTAAAAACACCCCGCATCGTCTCACCGGACGCGACCACCTCCAAGATGCTCTCCACCGACCCGTCGCCGTCCACGAGCACCCTCAGCACCAGCCTCGCCAGCACCGCCGCCATCATGAAAAAGATGAGCAGCGCCGTCGACCCCACGAAGGCGAAGAAGTAGCGGTAGTTCCGGACCGCCACGCAGCTGCCGACCCATGGGCAGTGGTGATCGAACCTGCGACGGACGACAACGACAAGGGGAGGGGGGGAGGGAGGGACACCGTCAACCAAGACGACGACACCGCTGGTAGCGATGACGACAACAAGCTCAACCCCGACAACCAACAAACATCGACCATCACAAAACCGACTTCACAACCGACTTGTGTCTTGTCCAGCGGTCCAGCGGTCCAGCGGTCCAGCGGTCCGGTGTCCAGGGGTGCCACCAACAGCCAACGGCCAAACACCGCAACGTCTTGGTTCCTTTCCGTCGCAGTCAGACGATAAAAAAACAAAAAGCAAGAAAACAACGCCCACAACTATCGCCGGCGTCCGCAGAGGAGCCTTTCTTCCGGTAGCTCGGATCAGGGACCAACAGAGCACAGCGGTGAGAAAAACGATCGGTGTCTGCACTCAGGCCGCTTTCGTCCCTTGCCAACTCCGAGCGCCAGCCAATAGAAGGACCTTGGTGAGAGATATGCAACAGCAGTCACCACCTTGTTCGCTTGAACGGTCCGCCGAGAGGACAGCATCACAAACAACGTGATAAAAAACCCACACGAAACACCACAAAACCCTTCGAAAAAAACAAACAAAAACGAATGAAAATCGCGCGGTGGAGGGAAACTACACACCTGTCGACGCAATTGTTGCACGACTGGCAATGCTTGGACCTAGGGGGGCGGAAGATGTTGCAAGTCTCGCAGTACTTGAAGCCGTGCAACCCAATAGCCTGCGGTCCTCCAACCAGACAGCCGAGGTCGACCACAAGGCGATGCAGCGGGTACAAACGGGAGCGCGGGAGTAGTGAGAAAATACAAGAAGCGCGCAATAAACAGCAGCAGGAGCGAGGAAGAAACCAACAACAAAAATACGTGGAAGAGCGCCCCAAGAGGAAAAGCGGCGACGGGGAGGCAGCCGCAGCCTCCGGGTGTCGAGGGTCACGGGAGGCTTTCTGTTGCGAACGTGAAGCCCCCATCCATAAGAGCGGTAGGGTGTGCCGCTAAGCACAGGCCGTACAAGCAGAAACGTAAACGTGCAATGCTTGGATCTTACGTGTGCGTCGTCGCATGCATACAGCAGCGTGCGTGCCAAAATAACCAGCGCAAAACACGCGGGGGGGAACCAAAGCAGCAGCGCTGCTCCCCAACGCAGGCCGCCGTCGCCTCTGTCGTACGAAACACAATCTAAATCTAGACCACGCCGACACACACACAACTAGTTAATGGCATTTACAAGTGTTTTGTGTTTGCAACGGCACTGAGGCTGACGTTTTTTCGTTGGTCAGCCGGTTAGCGCGATCGGTGCTAATAACAAGACAGCGGGGCACACACCTCTCCCACTGGAGGCGGTGCTCGCTCGTTGGAAGGGTTACGAGGGATGATTCCCGGGTCCGTCAAGGCCGTCATCCACAGGCTCAGCATGGCGAAGGCCCACATCGACACCCCAATCCACCCGAGAATCGTTCCCCCGCGCACCGGAAACCTTTCGGGTTTGCGGGCGGGCCATCAGACGGGAGAACCGGATCAAGAGAAATGGTTGGAAACGGGTAAGTCAATGACATCATGGGAACGTATGGACAACGCGGCAGAGAGAAGGGGTGTTGGAGGTGGTTGGTGCCGTGAGAAACTGAGTGTGGTAAAGACGGCTGTCAGCTTCCGGGGGACGCACTGACGGGGATCGGGTTCAGGTCGAACGCCGCCGCCCAAGAGTCTTGGAGTTTTACGGCGGTGGTGATGACCTGTATCGGCCTTCTACCCGCACCCGGGCTAAGGTCGAGGTCAAGGTGGGAAGTCAGGGTCATTTTGTGCACAAACTGCCGCCGTCCATGCCGAACGGGCCTTTTCCTGAAAGCACACTTGGCTGCCCTACAGCAGCAGCATGTTTTGTCGAGACACGATAGATGCAAAACGAAATATCAGCATAACCGGTGCCGCAAAAGCAAGCCGTAGCAATTGAATGCGGCCAGGCGGGTGGGGGGACCGGGGCCGCAGCGGGCGCGATCGACATTCCGTGCAGGACTCCCGAGCTACTGCTGTACTTACCCTTGGAACATCTCCCAGATGAATAGCATGGAAGGAACGGTGAGCGTGATGTTGCTGCTGAGGAACCACCTCACGTCGCTCCCCATCATCACCCTCCCGCCCAAGAAAAAGTGGTTAAACCCACCCCACTCCTCGTGTCTACCACGGCAGTCGTTGTTCACACAGCGCACGGCAAAACAAACCCAACAAAAAAAAAGAAAGAAGGGAGGCATGTGGACGAGTCAGGCAGGCAGGCAGTCAGGGTATGCGGCTCGCCGGGTCAGCAAAACATCCAGCGAAAAGAAGAGGCGAACAGAAGCCCAGTCTGGAGCTCCCCACGCCTAGGCTCGAAAACCAGTCACGCGAGCAGACAGACCGGCCAAGGAAGAGCAGAGGATGCAGCGTCCCTTGCACGTTGCGATCGCCTTGGTCGTTTTCGGGTCGACGAACGCTCGTGCGACGATCAACTTCATGCCAAAGAACGACAGGGGAAGGTATCATAGGGAGCAGCAAAAATGGCCGTGAGGTGCAATCCTCATTGACCGGGCGCGGGGCAGTGATTTTTTTCCTTCGAAAATCGTAAAATAAAACAAACTCAACGTAGTCCACCAACAAGCCTATCGTACCCCGAGCGCAACAGCTCCTGTGGTACTTCATTTCGCGGACCCCCCCCCCTACCCCCAACTCCGCTCCTCCCCTGCCAGAAGGCGTGCCGATCAGTCCCCACGGGGGTTAGACTGCGTAAAAACCCTGACGAAAGGGAGAGGAAAGCTCTGCTGTCGTTCTCGAGCAAAGCTGGTGCTCGGCTCTCTAGCTCCTTTCGCGCCTACAGCATCGGCCTCGACCGAACGCCGCGCGACGGCAAGGCCCAACTCTGCCCTGGGCAACACGAGGCAAGACCCAGTAGCTCCCACTCAAACCTTGCTGCCGCCGCTTCCCTTAACGCTGCCGCCTCGCGCCAGAGGGTCCCGGCACGACCACCATAGGAGGGTATCCAGAGGAGACGTTACCCAGGCGCGGCGGGTTGACTAGCACACTGGAGAGCAGCTTCAACAGCCACGTAACCAACTCGCAGGTGACACCGCACAACAGCGGCTACTGTTGTGTCCTTCGTCGTTTTCCTCCGTCTGGTACCGCCTCCGAACGTGTGGCACTCCCACTGCTGCTGCTGCTGCTGCTGCTGCTGCTGCAGCTGCGGTTGCCCTCGGAAAACTAGGTTTCTCGGGCAACCCCTTGCATCGCCTAGGCACGGGCGCAGCCCAGATGATCCACATTCCAGCCCCCGCCCCCTCCCCCTCCCCGTGCCGGACCAGACCAGCTAGAGAAAGGAGCTTATAATCGAAGCATGGTCAGGCTAGCTCTACCTCTACCATCTCTCTGTCTGTCTGTCTCACCTTCGATAGCTATCAACCTCCGCGAGGGTAACCGTCCCGTCTGAGAACTGGCTCTGCATCCATCCTTCCTTCGCCCCGCCCACACGCACTTGGAGCCATGTGCCCTGGTGTGTGGACGGGGTCCCACACAGCACGCGCGAAATAGGGAGTAGGGGGGGATTAGGGAACACACATATGCAGGCCGTGCGGCTGGGAGTATGGAGAGGCCGTCGCTGTGACGGCACCAAACAAACCAGACCGAGCGCGGCTTGTACGCGGGAAAAAAAATGCACACTGTATCGTGCAAAGCAAGAAACGAGAGCAAACAGCAGCAGCAGCAGCAGCAGCAGCAGCAGCAGCAGCAGCATGTGCTACAGAGAGGGGCCATCATGACAATCGTGTCACTGAAAACGCGAAACAAAAAAAAAAAATCCGGCGAAAATCACAGGAACAAGGCGACGACTAACAAAGACACCACGCCGACAGTCAGCCCCTTTCCGCCCACCAACACGGCAAACCTTCTGCGCGACGGCCGTCACGACGCAGCTGCGTCCCACCGTTCCCTGCACCCTCGACCCATCGAGCGGCATGAGCCTCAGCGGGCAGGTGGGGACCCTGGCCGTCGGCGTGAAGCGGTACTTTCGCGGCTCGATAATCTGTTTTTTGTTTTCGTGTAGTTCGTGCGGAAGATCGACCGACCAGATTCAAGAGAGACGCCGCCGCGCGCACGTGCATGTGCCGGAGGACGGAAAATGGAGGGGAGCGGAGGGGGGGGGGGTATCGAAGGGCAAAAGGGGAGGGAGGAGGGCGGAGGGGTGCACACATTATCGAGGGAGTAAAAGGATACGGTGTAAGACAAATGAGGTAATATATACTTCCTGAAAGACACATGTGTTGCGCCAAAAAGACATGCGTTGAGACTACAATATTCCGTGAAATCATCAGCAGATTCCGTCAAACGATCAGCAAGGGGGAACGAAAAGGGTGCTCATAAACATACTACGTAAAAGGCAGAACAGGGAGAAGCAAACATCTGGGCACGAGCGGAAAACGAGACCGTACCACTAACAGGCAAAACATTACCACTATCCCACCGCCAGACTAAATTACATCATGAGGTGTTGTGGGGTTAACATCCCGAAGCGGCGGCGGGAGCATCTCTCGTTTGTAGCTGTTGCTATTGTCCCTGCCCTTGTTGCTGCTCCTGCTACTGGCAGTGGAGCTGCGGCGGCATCGAACTGCTAGTGCAACTAAATAGCGCTGTGGCAACTGTTCACTCCTCCAAGTTAGTCAAAGCCAGAAAACAACCTCACCTGGATTTCGCCGGCCACCTCAAAGGCCTCCGGTCCAACGTCCACGCTGTCATCATCATGAGGGAGCGAGTCGTAACGCAAACCGCCGCTGGCTGATCGGACTGCTTCGTTAAAAATCGTTTTTTTTAACGCCCGGTTTCATTAGAGCCGCCGAGCGCACGACATGATAATTTGCACGAAAGAAGGTGGCGGCGGGTGCAACAAGGGGGGGGGGGGTGCAGAGGGAGAGGAGAGGGAGAAAGGGAAAAAAGGAGGAAAGGGGGAAGGGGGGGGGGGG